TTATGTATATGGCAGCTATAGAATATAGTCGGCCGATCCTTATGAAATTTGATATGTCGGATTGATTGGGCAAAAATAAAACCCATAGAAATCCCAACTCCTAACTTAACAAACACTAAAGTTATGGCATTTCCGATCAATCAGTTATATGGCAGCCATAAGATATAGTCGGCCGATCTTTATAAAATTTGGTAGGTCGGATTAATTGGCCAAATATAAAACCCATAGAAAATCCCAACTTCCAACTTTACAAACACCAAGGTTATGGCATTTCCGATCAATCATTTATATAGCAGCTACAGGATATAGTCGGCCGATCCTTATGAAATTTGGTATGTCGGATTGATTGGCCAAATATAATACCCATGAGAGTCCCAACTTCCTAACTAACAAACAGCAGAGTTATGGCATTTCCGATCAATCAGTTATATGGCAGCTATAGGATATAGTCGGCCGATCCTTATGAAATTCGGCATGTCGGATTGATTAGCCAAATATAAAACCCATAGAAAATCCCAACATTCTAACTTTACAAACACCAAAGTTATGGCATTTCCGATCAATCAGTTATATGGCAGCTATAGGATATAGTCGGCCGATCCTTATGAAATTCGGCATGTCGGATTGATTAGCCAAATATAAAACCCTTAGAAAATCCCAACATTCTAACTTTACAAACACCAAAGATATGGCATTTCCGATCAATCAGTTATATGGCAGCTATAGGATATAGTCGGCCGATCCCGGCCGTTCCGACATATATACTGCGTGCAAAGGAAAGAAGGGTATATGCAAAGTTTCAATTCGATAGCTTTAAAACTGAGAGACTAGATTGCGTAGAAACAGACAGACGGACAGACAGACGGATAGACAGACGGACAGACGGACATGGCTATATCAACCCAGGAGGTGATCCTGATCAAGAATATATATACTTTATAGGGTCGGAGATGTCTCCTTCACTGCGTTGCACACTTTTGACCAAAATTATAATACCCTCTGCAAGGGTATAATTAAATCTGAAAAACACACCAAAGATCCTTATGAAATTTGGTATGTCTGATAGATTGACCAAATAAAAAACCAATACAAAATCCCAATTTCCTAACTTTAAAAACACCAATGTTATGGCATTTCCGATCGTTCAGTTAAATGGCAGCTATAGCATATAGTCGTCCGATCTTATGAAATTTGGTAGGTCAGATTGATTGGCCAAATATAAAACCCATAAAAATCCCAATATCCTAACTTTAAAAAACACCAATGTTATGGCATTTCCGATCGTTCAGTTATATGGCAGCTATAGAACATAGTCGACCGATCCTTTTAAAATTTGGTAGGTCAGATTGATTGGCCAAATATAGAACCCATAAAAATCCCAACTTCTAACTTTAAAAACACCAAAGTTATGGCATTTCGATCGTTCAGTTATATCGCAGCTATAGGTATAGTCGACCGATCCATATGAAATTGGGAACGTCGGATTGATTGGCCAAAATACAACCCATAGAAAATCCCAACTTCCTTTACAAACACCAAGTTATGGCATTTCGGATTAATCAGTTATGTGGAAGTATAGGATATAGTGGCGATCCTTATGAAATTTGGTAGGTCGGATTGATTGGCCAAATTTAATTCCTAACTTTACAAACACGAAAGTTATGGTTTCCGATCAATCAGTTATATGGCAGCTATAGGATATGTGGCGTCCCGGCGTTCCGATTATATTGCAAAGGAAGGAAGGGTGTGTGCAAAGTTTTTGATAGTTTAAAACTGAGCGACTAGTTTGCGTAGAAACAGACAGACGGACAGACAGACGGACAGACAGACGGACAGCAGACGGAAGACGGACAGACGGTATTCAACTAGGAGGTGATCCTGATAAATATATACTTATGGTCGGAGATGTCTCTTTCTGCGTTGCTTTTGACAAAATACCATGTATAATAACCTGATTAAATATTATATATATTTATACAAATTGCACAGCCTTAAAATCATAAAGAAGTTAAGCTTTAGTGAATTTGAAAAACTAATTCTTTGGTTTAGAAAATGTTCACCTTAAAACGATTTTCAATATTAAAAAAAATTATTTTTTTGAGTGTGGTCCCGTGGATTTTGAAGAGCTGCCAATGGCAGCTGATGGAATGAAAGGGGGTTTCCTGGGTGGGTTTGTTTATGGCTGCAGCTGCGCCACTAAAATGGATTGAAGAGGCGCATCCCCACAAAAAAAATGGGTCAATCAAGTGGCGAAACTGTTAAGGGATCAATGGGAAACGATCTAAGGGAGTTAAGGCTCAAAGTGCTAGGCGTAAAATGGCATTGCTGCTTTACCTGTAAACATTTACCTAAAGAAACTGTATTATTTTACGACTTAGACTTTATCGAAATGGAAACAAATGAGTTTTAAATGGGGTTTTTCGAAATCACTTGTGTTTCGAAGTGAAATTAAAGCCTATTTTAACTTCAAAATACAAATTTTCAGACTAAAGAGATTATTATAACAAACCTGTGTACTCTATTTTGATCCAATTTAAAGTATGCCAGTTCAAAGACATTTTTGTGATGAAAAACTGCAAAGAGGATCAAACACGTTCAACAATTCCAATGCCACATTTATCACAGAAAATAATCTCAAAATCATAATAACAAGCAACAATCGAATAGAAGAAGTTCGAATAAGCTGTGGCTGTAATCCATCAATCAATTTGAAATGGAAGTGGAATTCCATTTCCCAACACAATAATGCCCTGCTTAAAGAAATTACTTTCACGCTTCTTCTGCCTCAACTGACAATCAACATTTTCGAGTTCAATCAATGCATCCGCTTATTTAGCTGCCACTTCCAAGCCGGGCCACTTGCCACTTGCCACGCCCCCCAATGGTGCCCAACGCCCCTCGCCGCCGGCTGCCAGTTGGAATTTTTTTCATTTCTATTCCATGCAATTTTTATGCATTTTTCTATTTATAAAATTGCTGGCAGCGCAGAGCCCGGAGTGCACACAAAATAATAAAAATGCCAAGGAAGACGTGCAAAAGAAAAATAAGGGAAAATGAACATAAAATGCAAGCGGCGTCATTTCGCCGTTCCTTGCGAGGCTCTCACTCGTATTTTCCTAGCCGTTCCCACAGCTTTTCCTTGTTTTCCCTGCACTGGAAGAAAAGCTAAAGGGAGAAATGAAAATACTGTTTTGACTGGTCTTCAAAAAATGAGTTGGCTTTATTTATTTTAGAATCAAATATTCAGACATTGGAAACCTTTCTAAACTATTTAATCATTTATTTTCACAAATAAATTCTAAGTTTTTAGATAAATTTTCAAGTGATTTAAGCCTAGATATTTGAATTTAATCTTATTGTTATTAAAAGAGCTTTTGTTTCACCGTGTGATTTTCCCTGAATTTTCTTTTTTCCCACCGTAGTGTGAAAATGCAGCGAAAGAAAACGAACCGAATCGGAGCTGGAAAAATGGTTGGGCGGTGGGGCGTGTAAGTGTTGGTAAACGTGGTGCAAAATGCCGTTACTGCCATCCTGCATTTTCCATTTTCTTTCCCCGAAGCTGTTGTTGTTGTTTCGGTTGTTGTTACTGTTCTGGTGTTGTTGTATTTGGGTCACCAATGCAGTTGTAGCTTTTCCCCCGCCGTTTCCCCGTGTTTTTCTTTGCTGTTGTTGCTTGTTTAACAAGTTCGAGTGCATCGCATTTGTGAAAATTTAAAAAGGCATCTAAAAGTTCCCTCTGAATGTGTTCTATGTGTATGTGTGTGTGTGCCACAAAAATAAAAGGGAAAAACAACGCAGAAAAAAAAAAACAGGAGCGAACTTTTTGAGGCTCTGCCGCTGACACCAAAATGCACAAAAGCAACAGCGAAACGAACTAAGAAGGCTGTCCTTATGGGGTTAAGGGTATCGGTTGCAAAGTATCCTGGAAAATTTATTTGGCAATACAGGACTTGAAAAAGTGTAAAGGTTTTAAAGACCCTAGAATTTCTTATAAATATTGACCCATTTCTTTGTTAAAGGATTACAATCCTTTAATATACAAAATAATAATGACAAAAATATTTAGTCTAAAATCTTCAGAAATATTTATACATTTTCTTTGATTCCATGCTTTAAACATAGTGTTTTTACTTCACTAAAAGTTCATAAATTGAATAAATCTTTAAAAGCCTTACAATATTTTAAATGTTCTTGCTAACCCATTAAACTTTTGAATCATAGATATACCCCTTAGAAAAAGTTTGCTTAACAATGTGTAAAAGGGTTTTTGGGGCAAGGGATGCGGGAAGTGGAAGTGAACTTTTGCAGTGGCAGGAGTCGAGTGAAACAAAACGAACAGCAAACATATTTGACATTTGCATACGAAGAGTGTCAAAAGAAGCAAGAAGCTACACATACAAACTAACCCAAGCAAACACACTTGCAACCAACCGCATAAAATCAGAACGCACTGAGAAAAACCTTCTTTTGAAAATGGGACACCAATTTTCTTAAAACCTATAAAATTAATATTTATAAATTAAGCAAATATTTTGCTCTTATATATAAGTTTTTTATGATTTAAAGCTAGTTTTCAGGTTAATAAATTTATAAATAAATGGCTTTTATTGCTTCAAAAATGAACTTTTAAAGTTAGTACCTAAAACCTTAAAAGTATTATTCATTCATGTTCTATTCTTTTGGGGATTATAAATTAATGAAAGACTTTACAGTATGGTTATGGTGCTTGATTTTCAAACTGAGTTACTTTAGTTGTTCATTTTAGGAACCAAAATATTATATTAAAAACAGATTAAAATAAAAAAATTATACGGCCATAATAAATAATTTTATTTGTACACATTTTTAAACTAAGTTATAAGAAGGGTGGGTATTGTCAATTCCAAATGTTATTTTTAACTATTAAGTAATTTTTCACAGTGTAAGCCTGCTCGTTTGCAGCACTTCCGTGACGCCTTCTTATCTGAGTCCTTTCTGCTTTTTCCTTTCTTCCTGCACAGGAACGTTACAAGGCCGACATTAGCCTGGCCATCCAATTGCTGCAGTGCAAGCCGGATAGTTTTGTGTCCCAGAAAGTGTCATCGGTGGGTATCCAAAATATATAGTATAAACCCCCCCTTGATTTGAAATCCCCACTAAATGACATTTTCCATCCGTGCAGCTTCCCATTGATATTCAATCGAAGGTGTCGGCTTATATGAGATTGGAGACGAACTCCCATTCCGATTCCGAGTGCAGCAACAGCGGAGTGGGCGTGGCCACCACAGCTTCCTATAAAGTGCTTCCGGCCTCCGATTCGCCGCCCCCCTCCGCCTGCCCCTTCCCGCCCACGGCCATGGTGTATTCGATGCGGGGAATCGGTAGGTGTTAGTAGACCATGTTGAGCCCTGTCCCCATGATTTTTCCCAAATCGCCTTTTCATTTATTTATTTACGTTTTCTAGGCACCGGATTGAATCACGAAGACTGCGTTAAGTTCACAATTTGATTTAATTTTTTTTTATTTTATTTAAGAGAGATTTTTTGCTTTATAAGGAGTATTTTTAATCATTGCATCTTTAGAAAATGTGCTTAATTAATTGCAATTATTTCCATTAAATGTCAGATTTTATCATTATTAAATTTCCATTTTTATTTCACAATTTGATTTCATTCTTTCGATTTTATTTAAGAGAGATTTTTTGTTTCATAAGGAGTATTTTTAATCATTCATCTGTAGAAACTGTGTTTACTTATTTCCATTAACTATTGGATTTTATCATAATTAAATTTCCATTCAATCTTTTTTAGTTAAAGAGTGGTGCTCATATTTTTTGTACCTTTATTATTAATTATTAATTGCAATTATTTTCATTAGCTATTAGATTTTATCATTATTAAATTTCCATTTTTATTTGATTAAATATCATATTTTTTGTACCTTTATTATTTATATTTAAATTAGTAAAGTCTGATAACACTATCTGAGCTCATAGTTGAATAATTAATAGATATTGCACCCTATCATTTTTTGGATTTATTCGCTTTAAGGCTTTTATAAAGGATTTAGTAGAATGTAAAAATATTAAGCATTTTATTGGTAAAAGTTATATGATTTCAAAGCTTTTAATCGTAACAATCACTACTGTCTGATTGATTACTTTATTTATTTGGTTGGCATTTTGCTAGAGACTGCGAAAAGTTTCCAATTTGATTTCTGCCCCATAATTGCTTATATTCCACATCATTGTACTCTGTATTGGCATTCAATACTCTTCGCTTATTGTTCATTTGCATTAATTGCCTGCATTCAATTTAATTTATATTTATTATTTCCATTTTTTCGCTTGATTGTTTGCAGTTTTTGTTGGCATAATTGCAATTTTAAACTACTGCAAAATAACTCTGCAGCATTTTTTCGTTTCGTTCTCGGAAATATTTACACGTTTGTGTGCTGTAAACATATTGTTGGCCAGAATGTTGCAAAAGGATGATTGTGGCTAAAAACTTTTTGTTTATCAATTTTGGCAATTTTTGTTAGTCTTAATATATGCATATTTGATGAGGAACATTTTTTGGCCTAAATTCTATTGTTGAGGAAATGTTGAGCATAGTTCAATTGAAGTACACTAGTTTTTGTTGAGCCTAACACAAATATTTTTTTGTAGAATGGATTTTTGCTTTGTCTTTGCTGTGGAAAATTTAGAATGCTACGTTTTACTTTACAAGTAATAAATTACCTACTTTATTTATTAACTGAAAACTTTACAATTTAATCTATTTTGCTAACAGTATAATAAATTTAGTAATTACTTTAATAAAGTGTATAATAATTTAATTTGCTTATAAAATAAGTTTCAATGGTTTCAAAACAAATTAGTTTGTTTAATTTTAAGATTTATTTAATTAGATTTATTTTAAAAACCTCAATTATTTTTCTTTTGGTTATTTTCTAAGACCAAAATCTTTATTTCTCCCAATCCTATTGGGTTCAAATGGCTCTAAAGAGTAATGTAAATTTAAAATCTAATTTAAAAGAGACCTTACTAATTTTTAAATATTTTTCAAATATTATTTAGACGGCGAAAATGGAAATACGGCTACAAATCCCAAGCAGCAGTCAAATCAACCCACTAACAACACAAAGGACACTCTGAACAACAACAACAATGGCAACAACAACAACAGCAACACCAGCAGCAACAACAAATGCAACAATCAAACCAACACCAATATTAGCAATAATAACAATGGAAATCAAGTAACCAACTCCGATATGATATCGCCCACAATAATGGCGAAATTCCTGGAGGACGAACTGAAGGCGAATGAGGTGAAACATTGCGATACATGCCAGTGTGGCAAACAGGATCTGCAGGTCCTGGCGGATGTATCCCGTTCCTATTCGGTGGCCACCCAAACGCCACACCAATTGCAGCTCCAGGGATCGGGATTGAATGAACCTTTGACCCAACTGTGTCTCCGATGTCACAGTAATCTGAACTCCCCGTCGCGCACCAACAGTCCGTATCTGATGAAGATGGTGAAGTCCAGTGATTCCGTGATTTCGGAGACCAAGAGTTCCGTTTCGGATCTGAACGACATGGACAAACTGTTTACGCCGGCCAAAAAGGACGATCTGATGGTGAATCCCATATTGGGACATCATCGTCTCTGCGAAAGAACCGCGATTCCGGGTCAGAACGGAGATTATGGGAATGGAAAGTTGACCACCTCCACCATGATGTATCCGACCACCCATCTGGGTGCCTATGCCGCCGAGAAATATCTCCTGGAGACCAGTAATCTCGGCCAGCTGCGGAATGGCTACCAAAGGAGGTTTCTGGATGGCGGAGGAACAGCCTTGCAGCTTTTGAGTAAATTCGAAGCTGGTGCCGTGGGAATTACCCAGGATGAACTGGAGGACGAGTCGAGTAAGCCGCTTTTATCCGGTGTTTCGCAACCCAGTCTCTTGGAAGCGGAACAGGCTCCTCAACAGCAAACAGTGGTCTCTGTCAAAATAGAGGACATTTGCGAACCAGCGCCCAGCAAGCCAGTTGCTCCAGTGGCTCCTCCAGGAATTAGCACTGCTCCTGCTGCTCCATCGGGCACCCAATTGAAGTCCACCAATTCCGGAAGTGTCCAGAGTTTGTGGAGCAACAAAACCAGCAGCTGCGAGGGAGCCAAAATGTTCGAGACATTCAACAGGAATCTCATCAAAACCATTAAGGTGGGACTACTTTAGTAGATATCACTCTGGATTAGTTAAAGAATAGCTTAATAACTTACTAAGAAACTACATTTCTCTAGTTTAAATGTAATGTTCAAATTCAACTTTTGTTTTTGTCAAGAAGTCTAATATGTAAATTAAAAGTTAATTTAAATTATCCCCCAAAAAGGATATAAAAGAATATAAAGAATATATATATATAAAAGAAATATAATTAATAAATTTTAAAACTGTTAAAAAATCTAAATATAAATAACTTATTTCAAATAACTGAAAGCCTGATTTAAACAGGAAAGAATTTTGAATTGTATTGTCTTAACATTCAAAACATGGATCAGTTTTTTAAATTGCTAAGAAGCTTGTCGCTTCCAAAAAATTAATTTTTAATTATAACAAAAACAGTTATTTATAATACAGTTGATTGATTAAAATTCTTCAAAAATAAAGATTTAGGAGTTAGAACTTAAAAATAAATACAAATTTCCAGATATATTTTTTACAATACTCAGAAATGTTAAGAGAAAGAGCAAAGGCTTAAGACATATTCAGTTGTAAAATGTTTCAAAAAAGCTTGGTTACTTAAAATATAGCTATTATAATAAAATTCAAAGAAATTATAATAATTTGTTCTCACTTACAGGCGGAGAATCCCAAGTACCGAGGACCTCGTCTGTGTGCCATGCGAATCCAGCAAAACGGGCAGAGCAACATCCTGCTGGACAACCTGGAGTCCATCGAGACCTACACGCCGGTGATCTACAAGCGGAGGGAGAAGCTGCTGGACGAGGAGCTGAACGACGGCAAGGACATCATCACCAGCAAGGAGAGCAATGCGCAGTCGGCAGTGGAGGCCTGGCAGGGACCGGCCAATCCCCACGAGAATGTGGCACTGCAGCCCGTGCTGGAACCCCAAGTGGAGGCCCCGGAAGTTGAGGAAGTGGAGGTGAAACCCGGCGAGGCAGCCACAAATCCCCAAGTGAACTCGCCCAAGCACTCGGCCAACTCCAGTTCCGTGAGTGATGCCATCGACTACCAGGAAAGTGTCCTTCTGCGGAGGCAGCAACTCAGCAGGGTGGCCGAATGGGTGCAGCACAATACACAGCAATTGGAGCAGCGGAATCTCCAACAGGCTCCGCCCACGAGTGACTCGAATTCGGGAACGGAAAGGCAGTCCTCGTACTCCACACTCGACCGCATGGACTCCATATCCATAGAGAAGCTATCCATGGACTCGGGCTACAAGACAACGCCGCAACAACTAACCAATGGATATCCGGAAAAGTCCACCGAGGACTCGCTGTCGCCCAAAACGGATATCACCAGCAATTCTCTGCCGGAAAATCCAATGGGAAACCCAGCTCCGCCGCAGAAAACGGAAATGTGCACCACCTACTACAGGAGAACCACGCGGTCGGGACTGCCAGTGGCATACACCACCGTGTCCGGGGGCCCCAATGATTCCAGTCCGCCCGGGGAGTCCATCTCCTCCGGATCGGAGGCACTCGTCTGCCCCGAACAGCCCACGTGTGATATACTGAACTACAAGTACTACCCCAATGACACGGACAAGACGCGATCCGTGCAGGCGGAGCTGCACACGACCACCCAGAATGTGGACATTGCCCAGATGGAGTACAATGTGAAGCAGTTCCTGCTCAAGCAGAACGAGTGGTCGATGAATGGAGGAGGATCGGGCAATCCGGGATCGGCCACTCGGCTGCTGCAGCGCAGGATTCTCGGTCCGGGAGTGGGTGAGCGGGTGAGGATGGCCACTCCGGGCGGAGCCGTGGCCACCAAGACCAGCCAGTAAGACCACCACCCAGTCAGCCGGCATCCTGCCACCCCACAGAACTGAAACGAATTTATAAGCAAACGGGGTCTCAGAGTGCGCCACACATCCGAAGAGGAAACCAAACTGTATTCTAGGCTAGTTTTGCTACTTTCAACTCCAACTCCACGGTCTATAACAATACGATATAGCAATGCTTAAGTTGGGTGAGGGGCTCTCAAAACAAAACCAAACACAATGCTAATAGCAATGATACTATACATATGTACGATAAATGTAATACACCACAGTCTACAATCTAAGCTGCTTAAGAGTTGCTTTGGAGCTATAACTAAGCTGATAATATGGATGTCAGGGGTTTAAAAATATCTAGGCGTTGGCTTAAAAAATGTATAATTTAAACTACTTAATTGATTTTCTATTCTGTCAAACTCCTGGAAATGTATGCTTATAATTTAATATATTACAACATTTAAGAGTTGTATTTTGTTACAGTTTGTAAGGTTCAGAATTAATAATTTGTATAATAATAATTTTGTTGTATTTTCTCACGGTTTGTAAAAAGGCTGACTATAAAATTCAGAATTGATAATTTAATATGTTTGTGCACAACTTTTACAAAACGCATTTAAACAATCCAAATCATTTAAAATATTTTTATAAATTGAATTGTTTCTTTAAAAGATTAAAACAATTATAGTGTTTATAATGTCCAAATGCTTTAATTATTTTCTACTTATTCAAGACATTCTTCTTTTCCCAATTTGATATGATTATTTTCTCAAATGTCTTCCCTAAATCGAATGTTTCTACTTTCTACTTAAAATAACGCCACAAATCCAAAACCCCTTAGCAAATGCAGCTTAAACCAAAAGCAAATCTAAGACATATGATATGGTACTCCTTACGATATAACAGAAAATTATATACAAAAAACTAAAACCGCGTAACTTTTTGATGTCTGCATGTTAATATAACCCACAAGAATTCGAAAACTTTACCAAAAACAAGCTTAGGTTACACTGGAAATATATAAATTATATTTATAGGGATATACAGATAATTATGCTATATACGATGGATATTTGATAAGCGCGTTATATTTTCTAGATTCCGATTGTGCAATATTTTTTGGTAGTGTGTGAGAAGCGAAAACGAATTTTTATTTTTATAAAATGCGACCAAAAAACGGGGAAGAACTTTCTGATATTTGATTTCTATTTTCTATTTGAGCATTTTGTCCAGCCGCAAAAAGCTTAGCGCTTTATAGCAAAACCCGATCAGTCTATCGAAGATATATATACAAGTATTGTACCTTTTTGCCGGAAAAAAAACTGTACTCATTCCTGCCCGTTAGATGACCTTCATATAGAGAACTGTATCCTCTGCTAACTGCTAAATCAAAGATATATTAGCCACGCTATATACACGTACACCCAAAAACAGAATCAGAATCAGAAACACTTGCATTATAAACGTATCTGAACAGACATATGATTGTAATACCCACATATATTTACATCTAAAACATAATATATATATATATATTCACCCTATACGTGTATACCCGACCCACAACAACACTCAACGGCTTCAGATGAACCAACCAAAAATACTTTTCTACATACTCCCCACATAAATCATGAATCAAAATTATATTGAATGCCGCGATACTAACTCGATATTTACACGCATGTATGGCTGCTATCTATATCTCTATATCTCGATTACTTTACCATGTATACACTGAGCGAAATGCTGAAATGGAAACGCTTTAAGACACTGTTATGTTTGGCCTACTTATATGAACGTTTAATTAGCATAAATTCAACTTCGAATAGAGCAAAGAAAGACCCAACTGTATTGCTTACTATAAAACTATTAATCTAGGGATCCAGCTCTATAGATCCCCGCCTGTTACGCACTTTATCCTACGATACTATCGAAAACAAATCAAAAACTCTTATTAAGTTCATGTACCAATCTCGAAAAAGACTTAACTTGGATAAGTAACTAAATCATTTCCGATAATCACCGAATCACTCTTGCTCCCTCACCTGTAACTCACTGCTCAACGATCCAGTTTTCCAGCATTACGTATGAATATCAAAGAATCTCGCAATAGAACACTGCCCCAAGTCCCATACACTGCCCCAAAAATCCCCATCTTCCCCTAAAAAGCCCAAAACTAACTTTAAGTAGAACCATTCTCCAGCTCAACAAACCACAAAATACTTACTTAAGGCAGCCTAATTATAAAGTCGAGAATCCCCAAAAAACCTTAGCTAAAGAATAACTAAAACGAAAAAATTGAAATGGAATTTCAGCAAAAAAACGGAAATATATGAAAAACTAGCTTAAATATTTGGGCATAAGTTCAACTTCAGCTGCGACATCTAGTTTAAATTGGAAGCCTTCGTTCTCTCGCCTAAGTTCGAAACATTTCAGATACTTAGCCTTATATGAATGTGTACATTTACTGCGCCTCTCGGTTGATGTAACCATTTTTGAGCTATTGAACCACCTTAATGTGAAACAAAAACAAAAGAAAACACAAATAAAAAAGACAACATCAAGAATAATAAACCAAGAAAACAAATGGAAATAATTCAAATAAATATGAGATAATTTTTGAATAACTTTAATGGTGTCCTATTTTTATGGGGAGTTTTCTTATATAAATTATATTATTATTATTATTTTAATTCCTATTTTTATAGTAGTTTTAGTCTCCAAAAATCTGCATTCATATTTTTTAATTTATCTTTAAATACAGTGACTCAAAATTGGTCTTCGGGAGTCCATAACTTTATCAAATTTTATCCGATTCCAAAGTGGCATGTCTCTAAAGACTTGTGATTTGATTCTCTAAAAATCTGCATTCAATTTATCGTTAATCAAATTTTTGACCCATTTTCATGTTAGTTATTTCCAATTTTCCGATGTCTTGAAATACAGTGACTCAAAATTGGTCTTCGGGAGTCCATAACTTTACCAAATTTTATCCGATTTCTAAGTGGCATGTCTCTAAAGACTTGTGATTTGATTCTAAAAAAAAATAAAAAAAAAATTTTTTTTTTTTTTTAAATTTATTTTTTTTTTTTTTTTTTTTTTTTTTTTTTTTTTTTTTTTTTTTTAAAAATCATAAATTGGTCTTCGGGGTATAACTTACCAAATTTTATCCGATTTCTAAGTGGCATGTCTCTAAAGACTTGTGATTTGATTCTCTAAAAATCTGCATTCAAAAGTTTCAATTTATCGTTGATCAAATTTTTGACCCATTTTCATGTTAGTTATTTCCAATTTTCCGATGTCTTGAAATACAGTGACCCAAAATTGGTCTTCGGGAGTCCATAACTTTACCAAATTTTATCCGATTCCAAAGTGGCATGTCTCCAAAGACTTGTGATTTGATTCTCTAAAAATCTGCATTCAAAATTTTCAATTTATCGTTGATCAAATTTTTGACCCATTTTCATGTTAGTTATTTCCAATTTTCCGATGTCTTGAAATACAGTGACCCAAAATTGGTCTTCGGGAGTCCATAACTTTACCAAATTTTATCCGATTCCAAAGTGGCATGTCTCTAAAGACTTGTGATTTGATTCTCTAAAAATGTGCATTCAAAATTTTCAATTTATCGTTGGTCAAATTTTTGACCCATTTTCATGTTAGTTGTTTCCAATTTTCCGATGTCTTGAAATACAGTGACTCAAAATTGGTCTTCGGGAGTCCATAACTTTACCAAATTTTATCCGATTTCTAAGTGGCATGTCTCTAAAGACTTGTGATTTGATTCTCGTAAAAATCTGCATTCAAAATTTTCAATTTATCGTTGACCAAATTTTTGACCCATTTTCATGTTGGTTATTTTCAAATTTCCGATGTCTTGTAATATAGTGACCAAAATTTGGAGTTTCGGAATCCATAACTTTATCAAATTTTATTAGATTTTTTGGGGCTCTACATATGTATAAATAAATTCTTTATTTCCTCCCAACATTAAATATAAATATAGCAATTAAATTTTCCCCCAATTAAAACGCTTCCCATTTTATTAGTTATTTGTTTTAATTAATGATTTTATTCTCTCATTTTTTATAGATAAATTCCTGGGCTGAGTATGAAATAAATAATTTGTTGCGGTGCATGCACTTAGAAGTCTAAAGAAGCATATTCCGTATCGATCTCAATTAAAATCGAAAGATATGGTCGAAAATGCGTCAGTCGGTTTGTGGAGTTAACTACTATTGAATGGTAACCCGCTTAGAGAGCCACTGCATCGGTGGCCAGAGGCTGATTCTGGACAGGATCGGCGACCTCTCCGCCCTCGCCGGCATCATCGTTGACCACAATGACCTCGTTGGACGGAACTCCTGCCTCCTCGAAGGAGTCATCGATGGTCTCGCCACTGGAACGTATTTCATTATCGGATTCTGGCACAAATTCAGCCACCTCATCCTTGGCAGGATCGATTTTGTCATCCACAGCGGGTTTCTCCGGAGTCTGAGTGGCAGGAGTGGCAGCTGGTGCATTCTGGGGACGATTTCCGCCCAGGAAGTTGATGATTCCCTGGAGGGGATTGCCACTTTGCTGGGCAGCGGGAGCAGCAGCCGTAGCATTGTTGTTTCCCCCGAACACATTGTTCACGAACTGCTGGATGGGACCTGGTGGACGCGGAGTGGTGGACACCGCCGCCTGCTGCTGCTGGCCGGTCAAACTGGACAGGGTGTTCTGGAACTGATTGCCCAGATTGCTGGCGAACTGCTGGATACCCTGGAATGCCTGGGTGGTGGCATTCACTGCACTCTGGGCGGCATTCTGGACCGCCTGCTGGGCGGATGTGATGGCAGCCTGGGGATTGAGGAAACCAGGGACCGTGGGAGCTGGAGTTCCCGGAGCAGCTGCATCATCCGACTGGACTTGGGCAGGAGGAGCAGCTGGAGCAGCAGGACTAGCAGCTGGCTGGGGCTGGAACTGATTCAGGAACTGGCCAATCGGGGAGTTCTGGATCAGTTGCTGCACAAAGTTGCCCTGCGTGGTGCTCTGCTGGGTGGGCGTGGCCTGGGTGGCCTGGCGAACCTGCGGATGGGCGGCATCCTGGATCTCCGACTCCTCCTGGTTCAAGGGATTCGGGGCAAGTTGCTCGGCAGGCACAGGAACGGGCTCTTCAACGGGCAGGGTTTTCAAAATACTTTGAGCAGGTTCCTCTTTGATCTCCGAAGTCTCCTGTTTAATTTCTGGCAACTGAGTTTCCTCTTTGACTTCCTGCTGTTGCTCTTTAATTATTTCCAGAGGTTTTTCCTTGAGTTCCAGAGATTTTTCCTTGAGTTCCAGAGATTTTTCCTTGAGCTTCTGGTTAATCTGCTGCTCAACCTGTTTGTCAATCTGCTCTTTAAGCAACTTCTCACTTTCCGACCTTACAACTTCTTTAACACCAGGCTCCTCTTTGATTTCAGGCTTAAGCTCCTCTTTAATTTCAGGCTTAATTTCACGCTTAATTTCCTGCTTAATTTCAGGCTTAATTTCTTGCTTAATTTCAGGCTTAATTTCCTGCTTAATTTCTTGCTTAATTTCTGGCTTAATTTCTGGCTTAATTTCCTGCTGAATTTCTGGTTTGATTTCCTCCTTCAGATCCTTGGCCTTCACTTCTGGGACAACTACTTTGATCTCCTCTGGCTGGGGCTCCTCCTTAACCAAAGGTAAGGCCACTGGAAGAGCCTGATCCTCGACAATGGCCACTGGGATGTCAACCGCCTCCTTGGGCAAATTCAGCACTCTGCCTTGGCTGAAAGCCAGAAAAACCAGGATCAAGACAACGGGCTTCATTTTCGCGCTTCAAGTACTTTTGATTTACTATATTTTGGTCGATTTCAAGATGCGTTCACTAGCGCCTCACGGCCGCAACTGTTTGAAATTTCTTTAGGCCCAACGCATTTTATACAAACCGCCGGCTGCGCAGTCGCAGTCGACTTTGTTGGCAGGCAAACAAGCCAACGAGTTAACAGGGCTAAGAAAAAAGAGATGGGGAAAAGTGCTGGTATCACCGTCTTGGCCAATTCTTGTGCTGAATGTCATTGAACTGGTGCAAGTTGGAATCGAGATGGCAAGAAGGAGTCGGGATCCAAAAGGGTTTTGCCCAAGAAGCTGCACTCGTAATTGGCCAAGAGGATGTGGCTGAAAAAAGGGCAGCAATCGGGCGACCATCATCAATCATGTTTGTTTTATCGAGTGTAAAGCTATCAGCATTTGGTTTACTTAGGGAAGATCGCAGAATTGAACAGGCGATCAGTTGAGTTCTTAAGTGGATTATACTGTGCTTAAACATAATACTTTTGGATTAACATTGTTATACTTTCCATAAAGAAACGTTTAAGGTTTTTGACTGGTTTTCAAAGATTTTTAGTATAACTTGTTTACATGGTTTTAAGGAAAAACACCATTTCAGCATAAATAAAATAAGAAAACAATAAAACTATAATACTATAAACATAGGGTTCTTAGTCTTGATTTTAATAATATTTACTTTATGGCTTGTTTGATTTGAAGTGGATCAAAAACAAATAAGTTTCTCTTAAGATTTACAAAGGATATTTCGCAGGGTTTAAGAGAAAAATAACATTTGCGAATAGCAATTGGGATATTCACAAAAAAAAACATTTTACAAAAGAAAAGAATTTCTGGGAGAAATATGCAGAAACACATTTATGGATTAAGAAAAATAGGTTCCATGAAGGACATAATTATTTAAAATGACTTTAGTTTAATGTGCAATACCCATTAATAAAATCAAAGAAACAATTATTTAAACAATGCTATTTTATAAAAATAAAAAATTTATTTTACAATTTTGAGTTTAAGTTTAATGTATTTTAAAGAGCACCTTTGTTATCCATTTAAGTTGGAAATCAAAAATTGTGCAACTGTGCAGCGATTGTCTATTAGTCTTTATTTCAGTTTGTCCCCCATCATCGACTTGTTAACTCCCCCTTTTCTGCTACTTTTCCACCTTTTTTCACTCTCGTTCCCTTTTGTTGACTCGATTGCATTTGATCGGCAGATTTTTCTCGTTTTCTTGTTTGGTTAAACGCTCCTACCAGAAAGCAACCCATTTGGGCCGTCTTTTTACTGACTGGATGGTGCATCTTTGAGTCTTTAAGTCTTTGGTTCTTTGGCTCTTTAACTCTTTGCCTCTTTGGACTTCGGTGGAAACCCGTTCCCCAGTCTTGAGACTTAAGATTCAGACGGAGAAACCTGCTCCGGCTATTTTTAGAGTCAATTAGCTTTGGAGCGACTGTCTCTGCAGGGAAGATGCATCTTTGGGATGCGTTTTCCCCCGGTTCTGGGTTAATAATTCATTAGAAATGCACAGAAACCGAACCGAAAAACGCCCACTAGAGCGGCCAAACAAAAGTCGAAATGTGTTCTATGCAAATCAGTCCATTTAAATGTAGTTAAATGGGTCAAATGGTTGGGGAGAAAACGCGGCTCTGCATAGAAGGAAAATGTATCTCCTGTTCATGTGGGACTTTCATGTGGTGATCGATCGATCCATTTGCCACTCGATCGGCGAGCAGAACTTGTTCTTCGTTCTGGGGCCCTTTTGGCCAACAAGAGCTCTGCAAACAGGCCAAACCTGCAAAAGGGCTTAAACCATATACAACAATAAAAAAGATCTCGTAAAGCAAGGAACAAATGATTAAGAAAACAATGGTTGGATACCCTTAAAGAATTAAAATAAAAGGAAATTAAAATATTTAACTGGTATATTTTAATCTGTAAATATTTTAAATAGCAATGGATTTTAGGGCCCCATTTTCTATTTTTTTATATAACTCATTTTTCAAGCTAACTTTTTATTAGGTTTTTTAAAACATTTTTCTTGGTTGCAAAAATAACTGTATATATTTATGTGTTAATATATTTTATATAATTTAATAATATATTTAAAAGCACTACTTTATATTATGAAAACAATGATTGAATACCCTTAAAGAATTGAAATAAAAGAAAATTAAAATATTTAACTGGTATATATTAATTTCTAAAAATGTTAAGTCGCAATGGGTTTCTAATGCCCATTTTCTTTTTTCTATATAAGAATTTTTCCAATATAACTATTTATTAGTTATTAGAACTGTATTTAAAAAGAATATATTTAAAAGCACTACTTTATATTATTTTCATATTTAAAATAAAGGCTTTCTTATTTTTTAAATGAATAGCCAAGTAACTATGCTCTTTTTGAGGGAATCAGAAGAAATCAAAGATCGAAGTGGATTGCTAAGGACATTGACTTGTTTCTGGGATCTGGAGAGCGATCTTTTCATGTGTTTTTATGACCCCCAGCTTGTGGCTTTTAATTCTGCAGCTCGAAATTGATTTCGGCACGGGCAGAACACGTTTTTCTTTCTGTCCCAAAAAAACCCATTTCGATTCTGCCGATTTTTATGGCTTTTCTTGGAGTTGGTTAATTGTTAAGTGCTTTTTTTTTTTAGCTGTCTTGGCCCCTAAAAAATTGCTCGAGTTTCGGTTTCAGCTTTGATATTATGCAACTGCCAGCCGCACTCTTTTTACACAATTGACTGTCGAATTAACACCTCACTCACATCCATCGACAGGTGACGATTGGGCGGACGGGGCGTGGCACTCACAACAACAAGAGACATTACTCTAAACGGTGGCAACTTTCACTCAACAATCGTGCGGAATACTAAAAAATAAAAAAGATAAATACCCATGCAAAGTGGGTGACAAAAAAAGTACAAAAATAAAAAAACTGGGAGTGAGTGGGAGAAGTCGGGCGATCTTCGTCATCCGAAATTACCTCACTTATCAAACTAAGCCGCTTGTTGTGTTCGCCTTTTATTGTCGTAATATTTGTGCCATATTTTGCTTCAAGGTCACCGATTTTGGACAAATTGTAAAACAAAAATGTTTTTGTTTAAAACTATTGGGAACCAGTGCGAAAAATGTCTGTCAAGGTCGCTTTTATCTTTTGGAATTTTAATGTTGGGATATTTTTTTTTGTTTGAATATTAAGAATACTATGAAATCACCTCCTATTAAGAACAATTTTAAATATTGAATGAATCACTTCAAGCCTACGTCATTTATCATTAGATTGGTTGCTAAAAACGTAAAAACCTAATGATAAATAACGTGTTCTATAAGTGATTCATTCAATATGTATTATTTCAATTTAAAAAAACATTGACTATTTATTCTCTTGGAAAAATTAATGGCAATTAATATTAATGAATAATAAACGCCTTATATAACCCAAAACCAAAAAAATGGCTGGTGTACTTCATGAACTCGCGTACTTTATAATCATTCCAAAAACGTAGACAAATAAAACAATAATAATTTATACAAAATCATTTTTAGATAAGATAACTAACATATAATTTATATTAACACAGTACCCATGTACTTTTCTCCAATTGAAGAAAGGGTAAAAACTTATCACAATAAATGCAAAGAAAATAAACCAAAAAATAAATTTCCACAAAATAGAGGTAAAACCATAAGTAAGAATAATAACTAATAAATTACTAATCTTACTTACAAATCAAACCAAGGATAAATCTTACAAAACAAGTGGCATCTTCATTGAAGCACAACAATATTTTACGTAAATAAAATAATAAAATACCTTATTTTATTTCCAACTATAAATCACTTGCTAACTTTTATTTTAATTTTAATTGTGTTGCGAAGTTGCCAGATGGTTGGATTAAAGTAGACTGTTATTTTTTATTAACAAATTCTTTAGCTCAATACAAAAAGGACAAATTGGTTTTGTTTTAAAACTTCTGTTTGCAGCCGATTAGCAAACAAATAACTTAAGTGGGTCTTAAAGTATTTTTAATTTTTATAACTTAAAACTTTTAATAGATGCAGCTAGTTCCCCAAACATTGTTTGAGTAAATTGTTTTGATTAAAAATTTGTGAACAATAATCGAATGCAAAACTAATGACATATATAGTTTTACAACTATATTAACAAGTTTTTCAAATCAATTTCAAAAAGTAACGTACAACTGCAGAGAGTGCTGTTAACAGTGTGCTGTAAGACGCAGGCGGTATTTTTTCTGCGAAGCCATATGTTTTGGTATTTTTCAGCGACATCGGCTGGTATTTTGGACCTGGCGGGCGCACGGCCGCATTGGCGATGTGGTGTGACCAAATTCGTGCTCGCTCCGCGAGTCGCCGTAAAAAAACAATTGCGAAATTACACAAGAAACTAAACAAATAAACGCGTAAAATTAACAAAAACATGTGCAGTGGCTGTTAGAAGAGTGCGGCCATATTGCGGGCCATTGAAAACGTGCAGGTGCGATCAAGAAAGCACGCGTACGCGTCACGGGCAACAACAACAAACACAGTGCACCATACACGCGTATAAACACACACACACACCCACACATACTGAAACACCGACGCACATGCAACCAAAAGTACAATAAAAACAACAAGAGAAATACCGAAATAATAACAGAAATAAAATATAAATTTAATTATAAATAAAGGCAGCTGCAACTGTGCTAGAAAACAAATTAAAATGAAATATTTAATAGAACGTTTCTCTTATTAAAGTGAACCCAAAACAGAAAGCTAAGAAGTACCCAAAAATATCAATATATGGATTTGATTTCTAAAATGAATGAAAGCACAATTACATCTCAAAATAATTTAGAGAATAAAATCTAAAAAAATAGGACAAATAAAAATACATAATCAAAAAAAAAAAACCAATTTATTTAAAATATCAGATAATAACTGTAAATCAATCAGACTAAATCAACATATGATTTCTCATATTTTTAACTTTTTGCGTTTTAAAGTAATGGGACATAAATCATTTTCGGAATTAGAAAGAAAGGCTTATATAAAATCGCATTAAAAAAGGTTTCTTAATAAAATGATTATAAACTCCCCAATTTTATTAACAAAATTTAAAAACCATCAGAAAACGTTGAAATAATGCAAAATTATAACAATACATCACTTTTAAACTGTTTACCATCATCAAGAAAACTAAAGGAACTTCGTGATTTTTTTAAACTGTCTTTGTTTGTTTTTGCCCATTTCCGGCTTACCCCCACACCCCCTACCTCACCCCTTACTTCATTGATTACCAAATTTCGCGTTTTTTCCCCTTATCAGCTGTTGTACGTATACAAAAACCACCCACTTGCCATCCCCTTATTGCACCTGTAAAAAACAGGTGACTAATGCACTGTTCGCGAAGTTTGTCATCAGCTGCTGACGCCGTGGACACAACAACAATAACGTCATCAACAACAACCACTGCTTTCTACAGGGCAGCGACGTCGGCGTCGGCAGAGGCCTCTGCCAGCACAACACCAACAACAAAATCTAAGATTAACAAAACTATGGCCACCACAACAACAACGGCGGCAACCAATGCTAAAGATGGTAAGTGATTTCCTTAAGGATATTTATCAAAAATATATGAAGACATTTTGGGAAAATAAGAAACATAAGAAAATAGCTGTATCTATTCAAAAGGCAGTATATCTAAGGATGGTACTTAGTGAATTCGGTGAATATTCCGATCCAATTCTTAAGACCTGAGAAAAAGTTACCAGCTCCTAAGAAAACTTAGCACATAACCTGACTGAAACTCTATCGATTTGCAAATAGTCTTTTGGATCTTAATTTAGAAGTAATTTTTAATCATTCAAATGACTAAACTTTGTTTTAAAAAAAAATGTTTGAAATATAAATGGCATAAAATGGTTGATAATCTTTATATTACTCAATACTTAAAACAACTTTATACCATTTAATATTATAATAATAAATATTGTTTAGAAATAATAGCCATATGATGGCAAGTAAACCCCCGAAAGAGAAAAACCTAAAAGGTGACCCACTTAAAACGAAACACACAAATGCAAGGTGCATATACAAAAGACATCTCGGTTAAAGTTCAAGGCAAACGAACATAGGTAATTGTAGGTTTCTAGTCAATGCCAAACTCTGCCATTAAGGAAACTGAAGTGAGTGATTAACTAAAATGTAGTACAACCAAAAAGAATACAGAAATTAAGAAGCAATTAAAGTAAAATTAGTTCTTAAAATAAAATAAGCGATGCGAACAAAGATTAAACTATACTTAATTGTAAAACTCTTATTCAACTTGGAACATTTAATCTCATTTTAAGCTCATGCTACTTTAAAGCATTAAAAACTGTTAAAGAATATTAAATTATTTATAATGTAATTTTGTTTCCAAATGCTAATAGTGACATTTTGTTTATAATTAGTAAAGGAAATGGAATAAGTTTACCATAAAATAAATCCCATTGCTTAAACATTTTCTTGTAAACGAAACTCGAAACTTTTCATTAAAGTTTTGACGGCTTCAATGGCAATTACGCTGGTATGGAAATTTTTAAAACCAAAATTCCATAATTCCTGCTTATCTTTGCTTTGCCAAAGACTTCCACATTTGTTTGCCCGGTACACAATGCCTGTAATCCTAATCCCTCAAAGCTTAATCTTTTGTTTTGTATTCTGGGATCTGGGCAAAGCACTTAAAATACCCCCACCAACGCATTTTTTTTCTGACGTAACTTGTTGAGCAACGATTGCTGGCGGATTTGTTTCTGGCTTTTGGAGAAAGAAAAGTTTTATTAATATCAATAACCAAATGAGCGGAGCGAGGGCAGCAAATAAGGCAAGAAATTAATGAATGCCGCTGCTGGGGAACACAGTCAAACAAAAAGTCGGAGCATAAAAGCGGCAACAAACCATAACCAGCTTAACAACGATAATTAAGAAGTGGCGGCCAGCAAAAAAGTGTAAAAAATTACATACAAAATTTAATTGCCAAGGCGGAAAATGGTAGCACGGCAGAAAGGGGGCGGGGCCATTGGAGGGTTATTGCGAAGGTCAGCCAGAGGCCTGAAGGTCATAAGCATTTTCGACGTTGTCGTCACCTCTGAACCCGCTCGAATTTATTGATTTTACACGCAGCAGCCGCAAAAAGAGAGGAATAATCACAAAAAACAACAGCAGCTACAACATCTTGCATATTTCTCTTTGCCCGGTGTTTTACTTTACCTTTACAGTGGTCACTGGTTATGGTGACCGTTTCTTGTTTTCTTTGTGTCTCAATTATTTTGTTTGTTTATAGTAAAACAATTTAAATAAACTATGTGTAATCATTAATCTTAATTTAATGTATAGCAATTCGATATTTTAATATAATAATTTGATATTCTTAACGATAGTTTCAAAGCATTTTGGATCGTTTGGACTTCCAGAAAACCATTTTAGATCAAGAATCCTAAACTGAACTGATTTTTAATTGTTGTCTCTGTTCATATTTGTTATTTATATCTATAGTTTGGAATTCTAGTATTTGTCGTTCCTTTTCGGCAGCATCCACTGTACGCTTATTCATATTTGTATGCCCCAAACACCGACACACAAAGCCAAACATTCAAAGAGCGACTTGTGCGGCTTTAGCTGGGCACTCGAGTAGTTCAGTGTGTGTGGCTTATGCCAAAGGCCAAATGGAAAACCTGCTTTAAAAGCCAGTAAAAGAAACATACGACAGCGTCCAACAACTACGAAACTTAAATCCCCGCCACGGTCACAGTTTGATGCTAAAATCGTGTGTTGTTTTTAGAGTTTGATAAACTGTAGCAAGCAAACAAAAAAATCTTCTAATTAAATCAGAGCTAACGGTTGCCGGTTAACGGTTTTCTTCGATAAAACTTGGCTAAAAAAACTCTGGCTCATTGTTCTTTGTTTTTGCAGATATCATTGGCGAAATGCCAATTTAGCTGGCTGCCATTTTTATCCTATCATTCCAATTTTGAAGTAATTTTCTGTGTTATTTCTTATCAACTAAAACAAAGAGGAATGTTTGATAAGCGGCATGACACAGCTGGAAACGTGATTCATTTGAGTGCTATACATATAATAGATAGAACAATTGGACTTTGCGTTTTTCACTTAAATCATTTAATATATAGGGTAAATATTTAAAGGCGTCATTATTTAAGTGCACGTCGGAACAATAATCTGCATTTACAACTGCCTTTCACTATTTAAATGACAGCTGCTCTTATTTAAATATTTATTATTCAGTATGGTACTTTTGATTATATTATAAAGTTTGTTTTCCAATATGAACAAGAGCTTATCATACATGGCAAATATATATTTTAGGGTACTTAAAAATTGATAACTATATTAATGAACGACAAAAGTTATTTTGATTTTTAATTTCGTATTCAAATATTTATGAACTATCATTTATTAACGACACTAGTATACATTAAATGTTTCATTAAATTTTATTTGTTAAAAAACATATTAATTGGTTACTAAAAAATGTTGTCGATAAATGTACGTCATTAAATGTATTTGCTAAACTTTACCCTTTTTTAATCTTTTTTAATTGTTACATATTGGAGGGAAGAAAAACTCCTCGTTTTTCCTTATCTCTATACTATTTACATAACATTTTGTTATTTGCCCGTGGTGTTTATTCCTTTGACTTTTATTTCTTTTATCAGTTGTGATTTCGCTGCTTATCGCAGCAAATGCAACTTTACCCATGGCAAATAAAATAAATAAACAGCATGGAAAAAGTGTGTGTTTATTTTGTATTTTTTTCCCCTCCTCAATGGCCATTTTCAATTAGTGCCTAGAGCTGAGGGTCAACACGAAATGCTTTATAATTTTATTTCAGCATCAGGTAACCGAGAACCCGAATCGCTGATAACTTTTTTCAAATATTTAATGATCATAAAGCAGCAAAACCACACACGCGCGCACTCTATTGCCCTTTTTATTTGTCGTTGGCTCGCCGGATAAATGCGAAACAAATTTTTGCAATTAGTGGATCGCTAATAAAACATATAGTGGGCAAAAAAGAAGGTGAAAAAATAAACGCAAACAGCATTCTGTATATTGACATATCGGTCGCATTCAAACTGAATAAATTCCCACAGCTGCTGATGCTACCTTTTCATGTGTCTTGTTTGCTCGGTTCACGTGCTTTTGGGCCGGCTTCATTTGCTGAATGCATTTCCACCGGCTGGCCGGGCGTCATTTTTCAATTGCCCACCTTGTCCCGCTTTTCCCGCTTTCCCAACAATTTCCCAGCCACGCCTGGAGTGGCAGTTTGTCATGAGCGGAGGGCCAGGTGTCGGTCTGCTCATCGCGCTTCCTGTTTCCCTTCAGACACTCGAAAAATAGACTTAATAAAATTTATAAAAGAATTTAAAAAAAATATTAACTAACGAACGCAGCTTTTTTTAAGGATTCTGGGGTCTCAAAATTATTTAAATAAATTTAAAAATTAAAGCCGATAATTTTCCTAATTTTTATTACTAAATGTTCAATATATAAGCAATTATTTTTGCTAAAACTAGAGAGATCCCTATGTAATAAATTTGTTTAATCCTTATAAATCATCTTAATTTATATTATTTATAGATTTTTTCATGATTGTTTTTAGAAGTTAAGATCATAATTTTTCCGAGTGCACCAATATAACCCATCTCTGCTAAAGCCCAACCCTACTCAACCCAGCTCAGTTTGCTTTGGCTCTCGGGGATTGCAATTTGATTTGTGGGCGAGTCCGTCGCGGTGTGAAGACTTTGGCTAAATTGCTGTGAGACTTTACGCCAGACTTATGAATGCGTTTATTGTGCATTCTAACAACTTAACTGGGTCTTCAGAGGCTGGAAACTGCACAGCCTGCGCCCCGGCTATGTTTCATATTTAATTGTAACGACTTGGAGGTGTCAAGAAGTTAACTCAAGAGCAGTGGCATTTGGAATTCTTAAGAAGTGCTTTGTTGCAGTTTTGGTTTAGATTACTCCGAGATTTTAAGAAAACGAATGACAGAATAAGAACAAATTGTAAAAAAATACTTAAGAGCTAGTTTGTTTCTCTTAAGACTTCCCAAAAAGGAAACCTTAAACCCTAATTTACCCTTTCCATGACCTTAGGTCTTTCTTTCCTTGCCAAATGAGTCACCTGAATTAATTTCCATAAATATCTCCACTTGGTTATTAAGTTTCCTTATTTGCACTGGCGTTCGCAGCTCATTTGGCATTGTGCACCCGCACACATGCCGCATTATTGTTCATGGAGCCTCCATTCCCAGCTAATTTGTCTTGCATTTCCCTGGCACACACCTCACTTCCATTTCACTCCCCCTTTGTTTTATTTTCTTGTCTTGCACTTTGGCGCTTCCGCGCTAATTTGCTTAGCGTAATTTGCATTTCGCAAATGCCATTCGAGGCGTGTGAATAAAAAGTACAAAATAACAGACACAGAAAGAGCCAGCGAACATAGAAAAAAAATGTAATTTGCTGTCAGACCGTAATGAATGGCCTCAAGTCCATGTTAAGCTCTGTTTACCGAATATTGAATATCCGCACGCC